GAAGCCAAGTGCTACACATAGACCCTGCCCTTCATAGATAGCACTGCAACCTTCAACCCGCAGACAACCAATCGAATGACACCCCTCAAACACTGGACTTAACACCTACTGCCTATCACCTCCTCTTCAATGCCTGGCTCCATGCTCTTCTTCCCACAATCCTGTACCAAAACTATCCCTTTCATTTGATGTCATTGTTTTGCTCTGCTTCGTTGTCATTGATCACTGTCCTTATTCTTATCATAACACTGATACTCCAAATTAGTTAAATGTTGTATTCTGTGCTGTATTGTAACCTTAGGAGGTTTGCCAGTTTCAAATTTGCATTGTCTCTCTAATCCTTTGGCCCTAAAATAACCCAACACACTTGTCCTCTCATAGATATCTAGACAGAGAGCACATGAAACAGCCAGGAAACAGCCAGTCGAACTTCAACTGCTGTGTATGTGTGTGTGTGAGAGAGAGAATGAGGCCGTTCCCACAACACACAGCATGTGCTGACTAAATGCAATAAGTGTCAGTTCAAACGGACCAGTGCGGTGAGAATTAAAGTTCTCTGAACTTGAACTCCAATGTCAGTTCTGACGTTTTTCAGCTGGCAGTGTTGAGATCCGCCTCCACTCAACATCTCTTAGACTTTCATTGTAGCCTCCCATGAAATGGATAAAATCATCATGAAATCAAAATTGACAATTGACATTGACATTTTTTATATGGAATATTGCAGTATTTATTATAAATTATTTTTCTATGCACATAATTTTTAATTCATGTACCCTCGTAATCTTTAATCAAAATCTAAAACCCCTCCCTACTCCGACTTCTCTTCTCTTCTCTTCTCTTCTCTTCTCTTCTCTTCTCTTCTCTTCTCTTCTCTTCTCTTCTCTTCTCTTCTCTTCTCTTCTCTTCTCTTCTCTTCTCTTCTCTTCTCTGATTACAGGTTTACTGGCTTGAGGGCGGGATCAACCTGTCACTCAAATGACATCACAGCAATAGCAAAACACAACCATCCAATCAATTCCTGATCAAGTTTCACTTGGATTTCCATTACAATAGGGAAGAAAAGATTATCACAACTTCCGTTCCATGCTTTAATATTTTTTACAGTGCTGATTTATGGCTGACAGTGTGAAAATTATTATATTTTAAAAGATTGTTTTTTAAAAGATTTCATTTGATATTTGTAGTTTATAAATTAATGTCAATTACTTTAAAAAAAAAAATTCAAGCTGGTTTCCTTATTCTTTATACATTTCCCTCAGTCTTCCGGCTTCTTCTCACAGACAAGGTTCCTCTGATCCACTATTTCCTTCATTCCAAGCCAAAACCCTCTTTTTGAGCAATCCTGTCATCTTTTTGTAGGCTGTAATATGTAATGATGCAGCAGCCTGCAAAGCTAGAGCTTATAGCTCATAATTTCAATTCCGACTAAAGTAAAACGCCAAACAGGCAAATAATTATTTTAGAGTCACAATTAGGATTCGGATTTTCTGCATGTTATTGTTGTTTATGTGTAGTGTTGGGAATTCTTTAAAAGGGGGTCTCTTCATTGAGTTTTTGAGATCACATGACCAGCTAAATACTACTAAAAAAATACAAAGATTGCGGCATCCAGGTTGGATGTGTGTAAGCTCCAAACAACTGAGATGAATGGGAATGCTAACGGACAGTTCTATCCAGGTATTACCTTATAGCTACATTACTAACAAACAGCTGAATATATTAAAGGCAACATTTGTACTTTTTTACTTTCAGATTGATAACAAAACATAGCAGCATTTATCTGACACACACAGAACAAGGATCTCAGTTGGGGCGACAGGATCAAATGGGAACACAAATACAATTCACCCTTCACTGGGAGTTTGATTGACGGGCAGTCTGACCAATCATAACGACAAATCCTCCATTTTGCCCACATACCTTCTGATGTTCACATTTGTTTATTTCTTGCTATAAACAACTAGTAGGAGATGATCGGTGTTACAAGAGATGAAGAGATGCTACAGCGATCTGTCAGGACACATTAAAGAGCCACAAAATGGTATTTATTGTTAGAATTTCTAAAAAAAAAAAAAAAAAATTGAAAGCTGATATGTTGCATCATATCAAAAGTAACCTGCTCTATCTTGTCTGTCGGCACGTTGTCAGTGTCTTCTCTGCTCCCGATGTATTTTTCACTGCACGAGAGCATCGTGACTTGTCGGACGTAGTAATAATAACGTTTGAGTAATAATCAAATATGGCCTGCATGGTTTTGGACTGTGTGGATCGTGGGGGTGGTGTGTCATTTTAGTGTCCCTCATCATTCAGTCTCATTCTCACTTCCCCTCTAGGAATCTGGAGTGGAGGACTGATAAGCATAAAGGTCAGAGGTCAACGAGTGCAAGTTTTTTGGTTGAGATGTGCTCAGACTTGCTGCAGATTAGTTTCACAGTATGGTGTTGCTCTTTATGATTTTGGCCTGAATTGCATTAAATTGCATAAATGCAGTAATGAGGATTTCAGACATTACCTTTTAAACTGTCTAATTAAATTCAGAGTTGGTTAAAAATGACAAAATTAACTTAATTAGGTGCTAACCTTTAGAAAGATCTCATAGGTCTGTGAAAGTTTCTGCCTTGATCTTTTTAATAGCCACTGACCAAGCCTTTTTAGTGAGCAGGCTTGCACTTGAGAGCACTCAACATCAGTAACATTAAACGTGAGTTTTGAAGCCTGCCGTTTACAAATGAAAAGGTAGCCTACATTTATGGTACAAAAAGTTTATTTAGTAACAGCTTTGTAAACATTTGAGGTAAATGAACATTTACATCAACTTGTTCTTATAAAATTGAATACACAAGGCACTTCTCTTAAGACAGCATCGAAACAGGCTGCTGTTCTGAGCATATGTAGGTGGTTCATTTCCCTGATTGGTCAGAATAATCAGCTCTGCTTGAGAAAATCAGTTCAAGAAATGAGCATTATCTGAGAATAATGGGCTGCAACTAAGTACACTACAAACGGATTGAGATAGGAAAGAGCTGGCTGGCTGGCCGGCCAATTCAAATTCAGAATCGATGAAATGCTATAATCCACAATGTTCAAATTTCCTGCGGTCCTTTCAGGCCACCACAACAGTCCTAAAATAAAACATGGGAAACGTGCATATTTCTTATACTCTACAAGTGCTGTTTTATAAATTACATTTGATGTTATTTAAGTGGAATAATACTGCCATCACACAACGACTTTTACCATTAAGACATTTTCCTTTAAGGATCAAAAAATATTTCCTCCTTTCTATCAATGTAAGAATTATTGAACAGTGTTTTTTGCCTAAATGTGCAAATCTTCAACTATTTACTAAAATGTAAACTTTAAGAACCAAAAAATGACAAAATAACACACTTTGGTTTTTGGATACATTAAAACAGCTGAAAATAAATAACATACATCTGTAAATACTGTGATCTGATAAAAGCAAAAGTAATTCTGTCCTAAGGACAAACCTGCACAGTCTCTGTGTGATGAAGCAATGCACCTCGTTCTATTTCAGGGCTGTCTGTCTCTTTAAATGGATTGCCGAAGTATATACCTGATAATAAAAGCATTGTACATTGTGTTTAAATGGGTCTCAAGAAAAAAATAAATCAGGTTGTGCTGTCATGTTGTTACAGTATATGTGTACCGAGGGCATGTTCTATACAACAGCAGTAGTAGTCAGTGAAAATGAGGGCCTCACAGTAACCTGAAACTGGACCAACAAAGAGGAAGAAGAGGAAAAGAGAAAGGGAAGGGGGAAGGGGGAAAGGGGAAGGGGGAAAGGGGAAAGGGGAAAGGGGAAGGGGGAAGGGGGAAGGGGAGGGGGTAAACTTCATATCAGTATCACTTGACATCTTTTATGTCCATTTTGAAGTAACTACTTTTTGGCAACCACGAACTGACTACAGAAAAGCAATGCTTAGCAATGCTTTTGATGACGTTTTTTGTACTCATTCTCAACCAATTGCTTACATTTTTAGGAATAAAAATGCTCAAACTTTTCGATATAAAGGATTTCAAATGTCACATGTAATGAGAGTTAGTACTCCCCTCCTCAGATTAACTACTTCAAAAGTGATCATGTATTCCTAATGGCAAGATGGTCATATATCAAAACTCTCAAATCCAAAAGAGGAGCAGGATGTGAACTTCAGATCATGGGATTGAAAAAAAGAAAAAAGAAACGTGGTCCAGAGAATAAACAAGCTATATGAATTAAAACTGCACCATTCAGTAGTACAACAGTTATCTATATATGTCACTTGCCTCAGTATATGTTCATTTTTTCATGTATGGATGACCTTTTGTCTGTTATGCATTAAAGTTTGCCACTTTCATCAGGCAATGTGCTTTTTTACTTTTTTTCTTCCCCAACACTTTGATTTCTCTTTAGAGTGAGGAAATGTAGAGACAGATGCTGGAACAACAAAGAGAACATTTTTAAAATGTTTCAAGATGAGTGTTTATGAATTTGACAACTTCAACTGATTTTTTTTCTCATTTCTAGCATGTTCTATTCCAGGTTTCAAAAGTAAATAAAATAAAATATAGTACTTGATAATTGTCTACTCAATTAAACCATAGATGGTATTTAAAATGTAGTTTTGTTTGTAACCTGTTTTATTGCACTGCAAACATTTTATGTTTGATGCCTTTGTTTTATCATGAGACTTGGATACAATATACTTACTAAATTGAACTGATTAAATGGCAATCTTTTTATTCTTACTTTAAGGCCTTGTCAGACTAATTTAAGTGACATTTTTCAGTGAATCACTCCAGATTCTGGTATAACATAACCTGCATCAGGTTGGCTGTTCCATTCAACTACTGCATTACACTAACCAGCATTCAGCAGGCATCTTTCATAATCCCATAAGAGATGATTGAACTCTTTGCGATCTGATTTTACATCGCTCACTTAATGAATGGAATGGACTTTTCTATTCCAGCAATCTGCCTCTCACTTCCTCTTGTTTTTTGGTGTATTTCTCTGTGTTTTTGTCCACAAAACCCTGCGCTTTGGGGTGGAGAGCCACTACACCGCCAGATCATTGGGCCTCGCTCTCGCGCTGCTGGCTTTACTAGCCCTGCTCAGTCGTCGAGCGTCAGTGAAAATGACGGGCGGCTCGTGCATCTCCACCGTGGTGGTGACGTGCCCCTCCCCCGGCCCAGCGCTCGAACCGCCGCCGGCGGAGGTGGGGGTGTCAGCGAGCTGAGCGGCGTCTTTGGCTTGCCGCCCATTATTGGAAGAGCGAGACGAGGAGGAGGAGGAAGGGGAGGGGGATGCGGCGTTCATCTCCCGAGTCTGCTGCTCGGTGGCCAGGTTGGCCCAGTTCTGTTCGGCAGCCAGCCTGTGGTTGTTGTTGCTGATGTAAAAAGGTGAGGACTCCTTGAGCTCCTCGCGCAGAGGGTCCATCTTGAACTCAGCCGTGGAGGGTGCCGACACGGGCTGGAGGAACACGCCGCCACACACGGCCACCTCCGTGTAGTCTGGCGGGTACCTGAGGGTAGGAGGCGAAGTTCTGGGAGACTCGGGCTCCGCTTCGTTCGCACCGGGCAGCGACTCGCGCTCGGGCGCGAACTCGTTGGTCATGCCCTGTTTGACCTTCTTCCATCCGAGGTGATATATTTCTAACAAATTCAGCAAAAGGGACACGCAAGCCACCACAAGCATAAATATGATGAAGATGGTCTTTTCCGTGGGCCGGGAAATGAAGCAGTCCACCGTGTTGGGGCAGGGCCACCGCGCACACTTATACAGGGGCCGCAACTGGAAACCATAGAGGAAATACTGACCTAAAATGAACCCCACTTCAAACAGGGTCTTGAAAATGATGTTGAACACATAGGTGCGCAACAAGGCACCTCTAATGCGGATTTTCCCGTGCTCATCTCTGATTGGCGGCTTCTCCTTTTTGCCGCCGCCGCCCCCACCCCGTCCACCAGACTCCCCTCCCCCTCCGTTTCTATACAGGAGTTCTTTCTCCTCCTGAAGCCGGCTGGCCTTTCGCAGCTCCTCCTCACGCTCTTTCCGCTTCTCCTCCATACGAACAATGTGCAGGACGTGGCCCAGGTAGATGAGCGTCGGCGTGGACACAAAGATGATTTGGAGAACCCAGAAGCGGATGTGGGAGATGGGGAAGGCCTCGTCGTAGCAGACGTTCTCGCAGCCGGGCTGCTGCGTGTTGCAGGTGAAGTCCGACTGCTCATCGCCCCAGACCTCCTCGGCCGCCGCTCCCAACACTAGAATCCTAAAAATGAAGAGTACCGTCAGCCAGACTTTGCCGATCACGGTCGAGTGTTCCTGTGCATTCTCCAAGAGCCGCCCAAGAAAGCTCCAGTCACCCATGCTTCACGATTTCTAGCCTAGAGAGAAAGTACAGTCTGCAACCGAGAGAGAGAGAGAGAGAGAGAGAGAGAGAGAGAGAGAGTGGAGTCAGATGAGCAAAAGGGTTAAGAGGGGAACAGAGAGGATTCATGAGAACTAGTTAAACTGTTAACAAAATAACATGTTACACTTTACATGATATGATTTGGATCTTCTCAGACTAGGCCTGTGCTGTGAAGGTATATTCACACAGGCACAGCTAAAAGTACATAAACCTATAAAACAAAACATGCTCAGCTCTCATGAACTCACACAGCATTTCACGGTTCTACATAAGATCCGAACTGTAAGCCCCGATGAAGCACTCGCCAGTCCCTCGCACGAATTCATCAAATGATGTTTGGGAAAATCAAGCAAATCAGCCTTGTCAAATATCACATTGACAAAAAAGTTTGACATAAACTTATGGATTTCGTGACCCCTCGCTATTTAACTCTCTAACTGGCAGCTATGAACCTGGCATGCACATTGTAAGCAAACTCTCTATGGCTCCCTTTCTCTCCAGCCATCACACACACACACACACACACACACACACTTTTTGAACACACTCAAACACACAGTCTCTTTCTCTCTCACCTGTTCGCTTCACTGCCCAGCAGGCATGTGCTGAGATCGACATTATAATGTTCAAAAACAGCTGAAAGCGTTGACTGGACAGTGATGTGTGAAGAGCCCTGATAGAGCCAATTTCAGGACATCAAGGGGGAAAATGCAGTGAAATATGGAGACAATAGTATACCAGGCCACTTTTTTAAGTGTGAATCTACACTCATATCATGTCTACATGATTATAATTAATTGTCAGCTAAAACAGTACAATTCATGATTTCACCCTGTAGGTGTTGTAATTGCTTTGAAAAAGAAATGAGTGTCATGATATAACTTAAGGATTTTGATCAACACAGATTAATCTTTATCATAATAAGCACAAATAAACAGCAAGATTGAACAGAACCAGGGTGAGATATTATTGGCACTTGTAAACAAAGACCCCCGAAATAGCAAGACATACAACAGGCAGAAAAAACAATTTTTACTTACTAAAATAATGTTGTATTGAGGGCGGCAAATCCATCGACTAAGGTTCTATACCAAGTCTATGACCCTGAAAGAGAAGGTGCAAGTTACATAATAATAATAATAAACATTTGTTTATTCATTTATTTAACATTTATCTTTATTTATTTAAAATTTATTTTTAGATAACTTTATATAACTGCAAATAGAATTTTTATGTAAAAAAAAAAACAAAAAAAAAACATTTAATTTATTTATTAAGATTATTTAAAAATCTTTTTAAATCCTTATATTAGCTCCATAGACAATAATAATTTTAGGCCTTTTTAAGTCCAGAAATTGATGGTATGAAATGACTAATAATTTTGATCAAATACACCCCAAAAATATTTTGATTCCTAAGGGAGCTATCATTTTCATTACAGATATTAAAGTGTTTTTTTTTATATATATATAATGATCACTAATGTTTATCGTCTTTGATCTATCTGCTAAGCATTTAATTACAAACTGCTGCTGTTAATTAACGGATGATAGTAATAATCCACCGTTCTCACTGTACATTTAGGTCAATTATCAATAATCTGTCAGTTAGAGAGGCAGGTTTTCTATTCTTTGCACTGATTATGCGCTCATACCGGTCATCTCAAACAACAGATGGTTTCTTGAAATGTGTCTAAATGATGTTAGCTGTTAGATTGGAGTCAAAGTTGCTGCTAGCGAAAAGTAACATAAATTAATATGGGATATAAAAGGATAAAATATTCCCTACATCTAACTTAAAGCATACCTTGACATGTAGGCAAACTTATCTATAGGGCCACTCAATATCCAGCGGCCACTGGTGCCACAGTTTGAGTGCGTTGGAAGCATACAGACCTCCCAAAGGCAGCAGGAGCCCTCCCCGCTCCCCCCGTTCCCAAATCCTGGCAGCACTGCCAGCTTACCAAACTCTTTTGAAAGTGGCCGGCCAACTTATTCATTCACAAAAGTTCTTCAAACATAGACCCGCGGCCAAACTCTCGTAGAACACCTAGTTTTTCATGGCAAATCGAGTGTGGAGACGGGGTCTCACCAAGCGCAGCTGTCTCCCGTTCCCAGCCATCGCTACTGTCACTTTGAGTGGTCATGCAAGAGTGCTGTGTTCAGAAAGTCATCGGCCAGTCAGCGCGCACGCCACGCCCCTGTCAACTGGGGTAAACTCATCGCCCCAACTTAACTATACTCGAACACACGATTTTATTCAGGGCTATACGGTGAAGACAGATGCTTTATTTTACTTTATAGCTACCACAGAATATTGTCATAAAATAATGATAATAAAAATGATGAATCTAGATATAAGAATAATAATTATAAAAAAATTATTAGGCCTAATAAACTTAATAATATAATTGAGCAAGATTGCTGGAAAAAAATGGGACGTTTTAATTTTTGTATCACTCCGCGTTCAATGCGTTGATTGATTGGTAATACTCGAACGTTGATTCTGCTTTTGTTTCTGTGGAAATATTCGTTGGCAGAGTAAAATTATCAATAATAATCAAAAAAAATTATCTACTAAATTTATCTAAAAATTATTTACTTATATAAACCAATAAAATCACCTGCGGCCGAATCAAAGCTGTGCGAATGCTCTCAGTAGGCTACAACTGCATTCTCGTGTAATAGTGCTTGTTTATTCTCCACTGAAGATCTGATAGAGGCTAAGGCCCAGAGTGTGGAATTTTGAAACTTAATTAGGCTATCACATTAGTAGTGAAAGCAATCACTAAAAGCTGGTTTGTGGAAGTAAACTGGTAAAAAGATAAAAAAGTAGTCTCCAGTCCAAAATTCTGGATTTTTTGTAGGCTATTGCATGGGAAAGTATCCAGTCATGCAGCAGGCCTTGCCTAAAATAGAATGGAAATGCACCGCCCTTTTGGTTTTCCCGAGAGAATCCACCAGTGAGAATCAAAAAACTGACAAACACATCAAACATTTAAAAAGTAGTTTTTTATTAAGATATTCATATAAAAGTTAAGTTGTTAGCCAAAATTACAAAGAAACGTATTTATTTGACCAATAAAAAGTATCGTCTCAGCTTGCGTAGACAGCAGAAGATTGCATCAATAGACCTAGCTGTGGAAACTATTCCAGCGGTTAAATCACAGCATTAAAAACAAAACTGTTCACCGCTGACTTAGTCCTACTCAGAGGAGAAAAACTAAATGGAAGATAACATGACAGTTGACGAAGCGCGAATCCACGTGCGCGCTCAGCGCTCTCACCTGTCAACAGACTGACTGACGTGGTGTCATAGAGTACGCGGCGCGCCACTAGTAAACATTCTCATGCATGCGACTACTGTAAGCTGATATGACTCCTACCGGGGATTTCAATGCAAGGATATTTTGAAACGACTTTAAACTTTACAGACGTGTCATTGTTGTGAAGATATTTAAATCAAGCCTACCAAAACAATCACAAATAAAAACATAAGCCCCCCTCAGCTCTCTACATTATAGCTACCGCCAGTCTAAAACTGGTGATGGGTAGGTTATATATATAAAAAAATGAAAACAAGTAAACAAAGCAAAATTCAATCATGTAAAAGTCCAAATAAAGAGAAGCATGTGCAATACAAAGTAAAATATAGCTGCGAGCAGCGATTACGGGCCCAAGCCGGTGGCACCGCAACCCCGGTTCCTTTAGTTACCTAAAGGCACCGGGGTGGCGGTGCCGCCGGCTTTGGCCCTTCATCGCTGCTCGCAGCTATATTTATATATATATATATATATATATATATATAAATTATATATATATATAAAAAAAAATATATATATATATATATATATATATATCACTTGCCTTACCGGATTAGAACAATGAAAACAATAAAAAAATAACTAGGGAATCACTAAACCGAGAGAATTAATCTGTTTTGATGATACACTCAAAATATTACACAAGCAATTCTTTAAATTTAATGATATTCAGAACAGAACAAGAATAAAAAAAAACTATAATTAAGAAATAACCGAAATAATTGAAAGCGAAAGTGAAAGTAGGTGGTGTTTGGCTCACGTAACTCTCTCATTAGAATCAAACTGTTTCAACATTTGCGATGTATTTGGATGCTAAACTATTCTTCATTATGGGCTTTGTACTTCACTCAGGTTTCAATATGTGTGTGTGTGTGTGTGTGTGTGTGTGTGTGTGTGTCTGTGTGTCTGTGTGTGTGTGTGGGTGAGGTGCGGGTGCGGGTGCGGGTGCGATTGAACTGTTACACATAAAAACATACTCCGTCATTTTGTTCATAGAGGACATCATTCAAACTGCAAAGTGTTTACTTATATTTGTGTACACTCGCAATAAAACACAACAAAGTGCTTTTGTCAAACTATAAACTCTTGTCAAACTGTAACCTACAACTGTCACCCAACTAAAATCACACGCACACACTGTCTAAAAGCAAAAAATATTTATCCAACCCCATTTAAAACAGTCTGTGGGAGCCATCTTTTGGACATTCACCATATCGCATTGATTTTCATTTATTGTCCTCAGAGCCCTAATCTGTTTATTTTTCAATTACACATTCTACATTGATTAAAAAAGAAAATTCTAATGTGTTTTTATTTTATACAGGAATAAGTTATTTATAATTCAGATGAGAATAAAGTTAGTGTTAGTTCAAATTTTAAGGAAAACAAATATATTGATCTGAAATATAGCACATTCATCTCAGGTTAAATTACCAAACATACAATCTTAATTTAATTTAAAGCAAACGATACATTTAAAATATATGGGTTGTATGCATATTTTGGAATTTAAAAAAAAGATATATATCCAAAAAGACAAGGCCTTAAACTTGAACAAGGGTTAAACTCTTGTCGCTGTAAGAGACACAATGATTCAGCATTTTGAACGAATCGATTGACTCAAAGATTCAATGACCAATCCATAAACATGTATTGTCTCATTCATGAATGACTCAGTCGTTCGAACGAATCATTTGAACGAATGAATCAATGACTCACTCATTAAGACGGTCGCCTGGCGACACCTAATGACGGTTATTATTCTAAATAATTGAATTTATTGATCAAATTTACAAATTAAAAATGAAAGATGAAGCATACATTTAATAAGACTAGACTAGGGGTGCCCAGCAGATATTACAATTGGCAGATTTAAATATACCATGGCCCCCCACCGTCAATTTGGTGTGTGTATAATAAAATCATTTAGTCACTACAATTAAAACTTGAACGTATTTGCTTACTAAATTGTGAGCAGAACGAAAGTTGCAGCAAAGATCAGCAACAGGAGTCAAAATTCATTAATCACGAGAGTGAAGAGCTGACTGGAAAAATTATGACGGAATATTTTGTGTAAAAGCGCCTATATAAGCGAATCTGTCATTTACTCTTTTGTTGTTGTCTTTTCCCTGAAAACCGGAAGCAATCGGTCCCCGATATGGCGCTAATTTTAGTGACACTAAAAAGTATGCGGCTGCACTGGAATTCATAACGGTGCGCGTCCATGGCGACGAGCGAGCAAAACAGAGCGAATGTTTTTTCATTTCTACTTCCATAGAAATTCATTCGAGCGCACTGTGAGCGCCACCACTATAAATGTCCGTGCGGACGTCCTTACTTTACTTTCACTTTTAACTTAGCGATTTAACACGTTTTACACGTCAAATAACCGGTGAGAAAATATTCTCGGAGTCACATAGGCTACCTAATATATTTAAATACAATAGGCCTACCTGATTTTGAACACAAGAGGGCAGTATAGCCCTATGTATTATTTGATATATTTATTTTTTTAACTGAATAGTGCATCCTGGCTGTTTTTAAACTTGTACATTACTCTTAAATTGAAAACAAGAATAAAATGGGTTTAGTTGTGATATTTGTATAATTTTATCTAGAAATAAATGGTGTATAATTAAATTTTTAGAAGATATGAGGCTTTTAGTGTTTATTTTTTTTTTACATGATTTTAATCCCTCGCCATAGCAAAACAATTAGAGATATTCAATAGATATTCACAATTATGCTTCTTTAATGTATTTTCATCATGTTGAAAAAGTTTGGTGGGAATAAAATAAACCACTTAAGAGGAGTGGGTAAAAATGTAGAGCCTGGTTTTGCAAAACATCCACATTAAGACAAAAATAGCCCACTTCCTGTTGGGCTGGCTTAAAGTTGTTTGGCCCGATGAGATCTATATACCGAGTTTCATAATATTACATGCAAGTGTGTTTGATTTATGGACCAAATTTTCTGACGAAGTTTATGGACCAAGTTAATTTAATTAATAAACTAATTATATAAAACTATTTTCAATGCACTACAATTCAACTGGTTATATGCCTTTACTTATTAATACAACTTATTTAAAAAATACAAGGCGTAAGACATTTATTTTCTTTTTTAATGCAGGCCAAACAACACAGCAGTCAAATGGTTAATCTAGCCCCCCTCCCCCTCCCCACACTCACAGACACACACACACACAGAGACGTAGGCTCAGAGAGAGAGAGAGACATAAAATGACAATTTTCAAACCAAAATATCTGACTTCCTGTTGGTTGGAGCTATTGAGTGTAAATTAGAAACTTGTCTGGCTGGAGGAGAACAATACACATACCGATTTTTATTACTGTAGATAAAATTAATCCCCCCACTTTTGACAAAAGGTGGCGCTACTGAGCCCTCAACACGCCCGTTTCTGAAACTTTGCACATGTCTACGGGCTAATAAATGAGATGTGTCTGTCGAGTTTCATGCAATTTTAAGCAATTTCAGGCATGCTAAGAGTCTCAAAAGCATAAAAAAAGAATATTAAAGTTTGATGCGTTGCCACGACAACAGTATCTAAGATATCAAGAATCCATTCACAGGTCTACATCTGCCGTGTGTTTACATTATAGTAGTGAAGTTTGAAGCAAATCGGGTAAAAATAAGAGGGTGATTTCAAAGCATTTAGGAAGTGACACACTTCCTTCTGCCAGTTGGTGGCGCTATAACTTTGACTCACAATAGTCACATCCATGTGATCGGGCTCTTACAACGAACACACTGGTGAAGTTTCATCAAGATCAGTTAATGTATGCAGTAGTTATGACACACTTCCTGTTTCACGTTTCTCGCCATAATTTTGTTTCCTCGCCACGGCCAAACCGTTCGAGATATCAAAAATCCCCTCGCAAACTTTCATCCTCAATGTCTTGACTTCATGCTGACCGAGTTTCGTGCCGTTTGTTTGAATTCTCTAGG